ACGGATAAGGCTACCATCGACTCCAGATGTTCGATCTTGCAGAGTAAAGTTGGAAACAGGAGCTGGAAGACTGGGTAAAGGGTTGCCGAGCTGTCACATTTGGCGAAAAACACCTGTGTCCGAGAGCACCGTTTAGCACGGGAAAGAATCCTGCCGATAAACAAGCTATGCGCTGCGCCGCACCTTTCCAGAATAGGAGATGCAACAGCAAGTACGGAAATTAAAGTAACCGTGCAAGATCAAGAAAGGAACCCGCTTGGAGGTAGGGTTTGAGCGCTAAGATGATAGGCTGCTGCATTGGCCGGGAATCGGACCCGGGTCTCCCGCGCGGCAGCCGAGAGTTTTTTAGCTAAACGGCCCTAAACATTTTCCCATTCATTTTCAATGGTAGTGCTAAACCACTACGGATGCAATATATTTTCCGCCACTGCGTATTTTCTCTGGCGCTGTTGAGCGCATTTGAAAGTTCGGCGCTGACGTTCAAGCGGGACTGCTGTCAGTGAGCATCTGCTTACAGGAGGAGACAGACGACTACCTTTTCGGAGCTTTGAGAGTTCGTCAGAGGTAAGTTAATAAACTTTATACATTGTTCGCCTTAACTTTTACAGGTGAATAAAATACAGCTGGCTATCAAAACCTAGGTTTTTTTTTTAATGTATTAATATATTCACGTTAATAAGTTACCTGTAATATTTCTGAGGTCATTTACTTGGCGATAGGTGATCTTACATTAGCTAGATCTTACAAGTTCTGAAGATGAACTGTGTGAGAGAATACATGTTTTTGGTGCAGTCCTTTTATTTATTTATTGTTGATATTGCATTCGTTATTCACTGTTCAAAAGTACTTATTGTCATGATTTGTAGGCGATCATGTTTGCATAGCGTCCGTTATGTCCGTATATTTACAATGTATTATTATATTATGTATACAGTTTTGTACAGTATTAACCTACTTAACACGTAAATATAGTACCTTGCCAGACACATTAGCTGAAATACAGTACTGTATGTGTACAGTACCTGGGCAATTTAGTCAATACAGGTACACTACACTATCCGATTTAGCTTTGCTAAGTATATATGATAATATGGTGTTCGCACGTCCTGTTTCACAGAACGTATTGTGGACGTTAAGCGACGCATACCTGTATTACCATAAAGTTGAGCAGACAATGTCCGATGTTGCATTTTGTTAATTTTTCGATTCAAATTCCCAGCTGAGCTACCTTTAGTGATGTTTGTGATTTCACATAACGATAGCCAGCGATTCTTTAAATGTTAGTATTATTGATAGCTACATCTTACATGATATTACTGTTACTGAACAGACCACACAATTTTGTCATTCAAAATCATTAGTTTACTTGTAAGTACATGTTGCCTACAGGTAATTCAAAGTAATATCATACACACGCTTGTGTGTGTGGGCAATTACCTATTTGTTTTTTCACAAACAAATACTTGATTTAAATTGCTGCTCAAGGATTATGTTATTAAAGTAATTTTTGCCTCTTTCAGATCTGTCGAGCACACCGCCTGTTCACCTAATGGCCTCTCCCCGAGTGGAATGCACTGGGCCTATAAAACTTTGTCCTGGACCACAGTCAATGGACAGAGCCCATGAGAGCTGCCATCAATGGTCTCCTTGTGAAGCACCATGGGAAGAAAGGCATGCTGAAGCTGCACTGGAGTGCATGTAGTGAAGCTCGGCTGCACTGCACCTTACAGCAAAGCAGCATATCTCCAAGTATATTAAACATCTGGCCAAGCTGAAGATCACCAGCTGTTCTCTGAACACCAGCCCAGAGAAGCTCCTGGAGACCTAGCAGCTGTGTTAGCGTGTCACTGCAGGCAGTGAAACGGTCACTGTCCCAGTGACACCCCTGCCTCCTGCTCCAGTAAACCCACCAGCGGTGAGTCCTCCCCAGGATGCCCCTCTGACCCAGACTGCAGTGGAGAGGATAGTGAGGGAGATCCTGGAGAAGTGCCAGACAGCAACAGCAGCAGCAGCAGCAACAAAAAAAAAAAAAACGGGACCAGTCTAGCCTGCGGCCGGCCTATGTCCCGTTACCTAGGCCAGGTCCCCAACGTCAGTCCTGGGGCCACACTGTGTATGCTGGTTTTTATTCCAACCCCAGAATCTTAACAATTGTTCTATTGTGCATGCTTTTCATGATTAGAGAGATAATTTGCCATTATAACTATGTATGTCATGAAGAAAAAACTCCTATATTCACATTGTGTTTATGTGACTTCGCAAACAAATACACAAAAACAGTAAGTTTTTATATCTGATCAAATTGTAGACTGGGGTGATTCAATACGCTCCTTAAGTCATTCAACACATGATTAAGCTCCTGATTTTTTCTTATGTTATTATGTTATTATAATGCTTAGTAACACAATGCAGGTTTGGCCTCAGGACAAGCATAGCTATAATGGCAAATTATCTGTGTAATCATGGAAAGCATGAACAATTGAACAATTAGAAGCTTGTTAAGATTCTGGGGTTGCAGTTGTGGTTGGAATAAAAACCAGCATACACAGTGGGTTCCCAGCACCGATGCTGGGACCCACTGGCCTAGGTAACGGGACATAGGCCGGCCACAGGTTAGACTGGTCCCGTTTTTTTTTTTTTGTTGCTGCTGCTGTTCCTCAGTGCATTTCACTGCTGCTCCTCAGTGCATTTCTTTTATCAATCAGGAGAGGTGAAGTACTTCTGCTCAACAAAGGTTTCCCAGACCTATGCAGCAGAAGGCTCCACCAATCCAAGGATGCCATTCGAGGAGTTTGCTGCGTTCTTGCAGTGTGAGCTGGAGGCCTCAAAGTACAGAGAGAAAGAGAGGAAGAGGGCGACAGAGGAGGGAGGAAAGAAGAGGTCTGCAGAGCTGCAACCAACTGGCCGTCTGTGCAGGTTCTGCCACCTGCCTCTAAAGCTAGGCCCCACAAGCCCTCAAATTCACACTGGCTTCCCTGGGGTTGCAGGGAAGTACATATACTGTCCCTCCAGAGTGCTGTCCCTTTACAGGGCACAGGGAATGGTGGCAGAGATGAACTGGAGGGAATTTCAGCAGTCTGCCTCTTATGAGGCTGAAAAGCAGAGATGGGCATTGGAGAAGGGGAAGTGACCATAGCATTGTATATATTATTTTTGTTCTGTACTGTATAGACTGTGTTGTGTGCAAATATTGTACAGATACCTAAGATCTGGAGTTGTTGGTCATGCATAATGTTATGAGAATTTGTTTTTTGGCAGAACTGAATGTAGTTATAGATACCAGTACAGCAGTGGCAGCTCGTGAGCTCGAGACAAGGGAGGAACACACTTTACCTTTAAACTTATCATTACTATCAACCTGTTGCCATATATCCTCCTTGAGTAACAATAAAACAATTTATTCATGGAGTAATCAACTCCAACTGATGTAAATACAGTAAATGGTGACCAATTTCATTTTGTAATACATTTGCTGTTCTTTGCAAACTAGATGTTTGTTATATCTATTAGTAAAGAAAATAACAAGCATTACAGAATTAAACTAGAAACCATTCACTCTATTTACAACAATTGATGGTGATTACTCCATGAATGACCTGTTTACTTGTTAATCAAGGAGGATAAATGGGAACAAGTTGAACATAAATATAGGTATCAATGTAAAGTTCCTTCCTTGTTTTGAGTTCACCAGCCGCAACTGCTGTACAGACAATAAACACTTTTTTTTTTTTGCACTGTATGCTCTTTAAATAATGTAAATATTTTCACTGTATTTGTGTGTCACAGTTGAATGTACTTATAGACACCTGCACAGACAATAAACACTTTTTTGTTTTTGCACCGTATGCTCTGTAAATAATGGAAATATATTTACTGTATTTGTGTCACAGTTGAATGTACTTATAAATACCTCCACAGGCAATAAACACATTTCCTTTTTGAATATTCCCTGGTCCATGGTTTAATTTGATGAGGCAAGAGCTAAAGGCATGAACGGCGCATGTTTGTTTAAGAAGACTTGAAAGTTGAAGGTCAGTAATTGGACAAATCAATTAGTGAGAAAGCACTTGGAATCAATGCAGGAAATATGAAAAATATAGGACTTCATTTGGGGAATGGAAATATATATAAGGGCTAATATATGTAATTTTCAGTGAAATGACTACTGGCATGAAATGACTGTTTAAACGCTGTGAGAAGGGAGTGATTAAGGGTAAGTTTCAAATTCAAATTGACATCAAATCTCGAATACATTACAGTAGATAAGTCTAATGATCATTCTAATTCAAAATCTACAGCTAAATTTCAGATGTGAAACTACCTACGGCGGGATTCGAACCCATGTCTAAAAGTTATATAAATAAATAATGAATATTTATTTAAATAAATACATATTTATATCGTAGGCTTAAAAATTCGTTTCTGATTGGCTGTTCGTCCGTTACAGCTATACGCGGCTGGCCCCCGCGTGGCAGGCGAGAATTCTACCACTGAACCACCAATGCTTCACACAGAGCTATACCATGGTGCCGAATCCTGAAAAAGAAAGAAAAAAAAACATACTTTTGGTTTTGTCAAAGGAGAAAATGTTCAATCGCTGACTTACGGTCAGTCAGACCAAGGCCGTCTGCCTTGCAGGCAAAAGTTGTAACGTTTAGTAACACAGGTGGGGGTAAGGTGTAGCTCTCATTCCCAGCCTGTGTTTTGCCTTAATTTTCCTACCTAGTGTCGCCTCCCCCCGAGTAAGTTTGTAAACAGGAGCTGGAGCCTTACTAAAACTGGATAAAGGGTTCCCGAGCTGTCATGTTTGGTGAAAAACGCCTGTGTCCGAGAGCGCCGTTTAGCACGGGAAAGAATCCTGCCAATAAACAAGGCATGTGTTGCGCTGGACCTTTCCAGAAGGGGAGAGGCAATGCCAAATACGGACATGAAAGTTACCTCGCAAGTTCAAGAAAGGAGCTGTTTGGAGGTAGGGTTTGAGTGCTAAGATGATAGGCTGCTGCATTGGCTGGGAATTGGACCCGGGTTTCCCGTGTGGAAGGTGAGAATTCTACCACTGAACCACCAATGCTTCATACAGGGCTCTGCCATGGTGTGACACAACACACAGAATATTTCAAGTTTAACTTTTTTTCAACAAAGAAAATATCTCATATGAACAACAGTTTGAAATGGTTTCTATGAAAATACAAAAACCATTAGATGTTCACCATCAGTCACATTTCCAGACCAATTTTGGTAAAGCAATAAAAAACATGAACAACAATGAAATATAAAGAAGTAAGAAAAGAAAAACAATGATATTTCAGATTGTTTGTAATTTTAATCAAACGTAAGTTACTATCTAACTAACATTAATTTAATTAAACTTTTTAAAACCAAATATACATTTTACATTTAGGTAGACGTAAGCTGACACTGCCTTGCCATAACCAACTCACCATTAAAAAAGCTCTGAAGAAAATGTCAGAAAACAGAATGGACTGGCAACATTTTAGATAGATGTTAATTTCAATTAAATATTAAAATTTACTTAAAATTAATTGTTGTCAAAACTGTGTGTTCGATCACTTGAAAATAAACCAATGTAATAATTTTCTTATTTTTACCATGTAACTAGTTAACATGTTTTCTTTTTCTATTATGTTACAACCATGAAAACTACACCTTATGTAGTTCAGCTGAAAGATTTGAGGAATGAAATGGTTTAGAGACCAAGTCAATATGAAAAAATATTACCCGATTAATTTTCCTAATCCTTAAAGCACAATATTTTTTTGATCTGCTTTCAAGTAAAAAATCAAACCCACTACTTCTGAGTCAAAACCAGAGGAAAAAGTGTTGGACAAATATGCAGATCCATATGTTGTCTTGGTAGTACAAACAATCTGCACAATTCAGTTGTCAAATAATGAATAGACATGCACTGATTTTTCTTTGGGTGCCATACCACATGCAACAATAAGCTTTGGTTCCAGAATACTATGTGCTATGGAAGAGAGGAAAGCTTCACCCCCTGTCCCTCTCCTTGCAGGGAGAGAAATGACAACTGCTGATGGCTGGAGTTGTGGCAGAAACCAAAAAACAATGATCACAGTCAGGATAGTAAGAGGGTAAACAGGCTTTTCTCTAAGTTCCCTTAGCACACCACTACACCAGTAAGACAATCATATTGCAGATATAATAAAATAAACAGAAATACATGAGAGCAATATAAAGAGTGTTAAGTTAAAGTCAGTGATTACCTCCTGTAAGTGCTTTCACCAGGATTGGAGAAAGTCTTCATTACTGTATGCAATTACAGTGCTGATTCACACTCATACAAACAGAAATATATGTGGGTACAGACATACATACATACATATATACATACATACATAGAGCTGCGTCAGCATTCACTAACAAAACATTTGATGGTCTATTTTTTACCATCTGCTTTTTTGTCCAACAATTTGTGCCACATATAAGTCTCATTTTCTCTACATGTTGAAACAATTTACTACCACATTTAAACCCCAAATACAAAATATCTTAACCTTTCCCATGTATTAAGATTGTACTTGCAAAATATGAGCATAGTGACACTTTCGAGGAGTGTATTTAGACACCGGAAATTTATCAAAAATTAATGTCAAAATTAAAATTACAGTTTAATCTAAGGGCTGAATCCAGACCTGGGCTTCATAAGACACAGTCAGGAATACTTTCCCAGACATTTGGACCCTATTGCATCTTTTTTTAGAGTTTTGCACTTTGGGTTTATTTGTATCCAGACCTGAGAGCTCCAGGCACTTAAGTGCTGAAATAGACATTTTAAATTGTGAATCACAGTGTATACCTGATGAACATTTTGCACCATACTAATATTCCTGTATCCAGTGGTGTAATTAAGCGTTGGGTCTGTTCCTTCATTGGCATTAATATAATCCTTTCGTTTTGGTGTTTTGGGAGTTTGCACACAAGTGACTAAATCAGTTCAGGAGCAACTAAGCTCTGATGATTTCCAGACCACACAAACCACAATATATGTTAATAAATACATGGAAAAAGTTGTATAAATTATTGAAAAATGTAAACTTTCATATATTTTCTCTGATAGAAGAGAATAATTATAATGTCACCAGGTAATTATTTATTCACAAAGCATTTATACCAAAACTCACAAACAATACATTTACTGGCAGTTTACTTGGAATTCTGACATCAATTTATGGAGGGAGACCAAACGTTACAGTTATTAAAGTGTGAATTCATTGAAGCTGGTCATTCCAGCAATTTGTGAGAAGAAAGCAAAAACCATTTGAAAAAAGGTTATGAAAGGATAAAATCCAAAATGAAACACAATTCAGAAAAAGACAAGTCAAGAAATTCTTTAAAAATATATATTGTTTCAAAATGTATAAATAAAAATTTGTGGAAGCAAAATCTGATCATTTAAAAATATTTCTATATAATACTCTAATTACTGGAAATAATTCACTCCAAGTTATGTAATGCGATTGACAAATTATGATGGGTATGTTGCATTTTGCAAAAACTATATTATATGTAATCATAAAATCAAAAATAATTTATGATGAACTTGGAAAAATCTGAGTGGATTTTCAAAAGGCTTGATAGCTCAGACCTGCTGGTTGCTATTATAATGAAATAATGTGTGAGAAACAGCTAAACTAATTAATGCAGTCAATTTTCTGTGCTTTCTTTCTAGAACTTTTTAACAGTAATCTTGTGTAAATAAGAGACTGATCATCCATTTGCTTTACACATAGAAATATCTTCACATGATTTTTTTAAGATCATGAAATTAGCAGCACAGAAGACTGCAATACTGATCAAATGAAAATATTCAATTATAAATTGATTACTGATTTACACTTTACATTAGATTTTTCTTAAAAATGATAAATCCAGAAATGCCCTGAAAACATTCACTCAATCCTGTACAGCTGAGGCTGAAAGTTCAGATTAGTACAAACCACTTGTGAATTAGCCACAGATGCCCTTGTTTCAGAAAAGTCTCAGAGAGGTTTACATCTCTCTGAGGCCCCTCCCTTCAGCAGGGCTGCAAGTGTGCAGAGGAGAGCCCAACATTTACATGGAATCACACTTAACTGGTGCATAACTCAGTTTTTAATTTTGCGCTCAATGCATAATATGACCTTGACTGACTTCAGCAGTGCAATATCACTTAATGCTACTAAATGTAAACATATTTACTCTTAAACAGAATAGACTTTAATGAATAAGGCACTTAAAAATGAAATTCACCCTTGGAGTAAATCTACAGGGGTGGGAGCTACTCTCCATTTCCCAATGTGGTGTCTTTCAAACAGGGTGGATAAGGTATGTAGTGATATGGTATTCCCTTTTTACTCCCTTTCCCTTTAGAGAAAGCAAGGCCACAAGGATTATGAAAAGTGCAACAAAGTCCAACATGGGGGTCATTGGTGGTCTTCCACAAATGAAAATTAGAATATATTTTATATCTATAAATACAATGTATTTTGCTCATCTGTTCTAGTTTTATACCCATACATACTACTTCACTACTTCAGCTACTTCAGATCAGCTTTAAATACAATATGCTAAAAATAGCTTCATATTAACATAATTGTTGCAACTAAGAGGTGGGGATAAAACATGGCAACCAGCTGGTCATGATGTAATATATATATATGTGTGTGTGTGTGTGTGTGTGTGTGTGTGTGTGTGTGTGTGTGTGTGTGTGAGTGAGTGTGAGTGTTACCCTAATAGTTTTTGTATTCATCCTTGCACAATCATTTGATTTAGCTAATGCAAGTAATAACATGGTGACAAGAGCACCATCAGTATGTTTAGTAAATCGAACAAAAGTGAACAATTACCAGTGCCTTAATATCACATATTGAGCTATAGGTGGTGAACATCACCAGAGCAAATAAGGGACAAGTCCATGCAAAGCAGAAGCTAGCACAGGTCTGGCTAATACATTAGTTTTGCACAATTATTACATATAAAATGTATGGTTGTATGTAACCATGGCTTAGAAAGCTGTATTAAAATATCTCAGAGATAAAATATGGGCCACTGTTGGACCAAAGGTGTATAACAGCTGTACTTGCCAATATTCCACTGGTGAGAGTGGGTATGGTAATTACTAGTGCAGAACAACAGAACAACAACCATTCTCCAGGACTGCAACATCTGCAGATGCAACATATGAAATAAACTGCAAAGCAGATGAGCAACCTTCGATCGGCTTTGAATCTGAGGGTGAGAGTGAACAGTATACAGAAATGGTAGTGGCACCACAATATCTGATTAATTTGTAAGAGTTCCCACTTTTTGTTCAAACCAACACTTGCTGATAATATCACAGAAATGTATAAAGCAAGACAATAAAATGACAAAAAGGATACAAAGTATTTAGATTTTCAGAGAATTTACAATAAAAATGTATGCAGTAAAATATATTCAGCAGTTTTATACAGTCAATGAGAAGGTGGTCTCTGATCACAAACTTTACAATTTCTTTAAAATACAGCTTGGCATCAAATTTGAATCTGTTGAAAAGATTGGAAACTTGTAAGTGCTGGAGACCGTGATCCACAACATTTTTGTTACAACTTCGAGTTACATGGAATTAGTCTGTTAATTTGCTGCTATAATCATGGTCAGCACTTTAATGAGGCTGCTGAAGACCAGGCTTTGATGTATACTCTCAAAGTTCACTAGTTGCAAATGAAAATTATTTTAGGGAAAGCACTTCCTGTTGCGATTATTTTACTGAGGACTGAGGACTTCTATTTTTGATTGACTGTTAATCAGATATGATTTCAACTAAATGCATACAATCCACGGTGCTTTAATTAAATGGGAGGAGCATCACGCCACAGATCAGATGAGGGTTTGGAGTGTAGGTAATCATCAAGGCTGTCACCCCTCAGTGAAGATGGAAGATAGCTGACTCGGGCAGCGGTCCAGTGCAGTGACCTGCAGGAAGCTGCTGTCATCTGTCATACCTCGCATGGGATCTCCTAAAAAGTCCTGGTATCCTCCCTGGAGGTCATACACTATGAAACACACAGA